TATCATGATGGTCATGAAAGCAATGTACAGGAACACTTTGACCACACCTGGAATAAAGATGTCAGATAACATTTAAGAACACCTGCCACCACAATCCCAGAACAATTTCAGCATTTTATACTTTGAACCCCAACTGAATACAGCACCTGTGAAGAGGTCAGTGTAAAGCATATAGACAGCCTTGTTATCCCAGGGGTTCTCACTCTGCAGGTCAATAGTATGCAGAAGATACTTGATAAAGGTTGTCAGGACCATGGTCAGCAGGATGGCATACTGAGAAGAACAAATGCAAACATTTGTTTTGGTTGTTATGTGCACGTATCAACCGATGAGTATCCATCATTTCCCCACATGGGCCAGCTGAAGGAAAGAGTGAGAGGCTCACAGCAACTGGTTCAAATCTAAAGAGCAGACGCATTTTACAGCAACCATTATGACACAGAGAAAAAACACTAATCCCATTTATTAAAGCTCTGATCCTTAATTGAACAGAATGTTTTTAATGTCAGTATAATACATGTGTTTACCTACTATTTCATATCAAAAATGGCTGCTGTGATCGTGATATATATATATATATATATATATATATATATATATATATATATATGAGAATGAGATTCAAACAGCCAAAGACGTGTCAAGCTAGCTTATTGTTTGCATGCACAACAGTTTCAATTCAGCTTCAGCTCACGACAAACCTCAAATCCAAACACAAGCTGGACCGAAGCGCCTCGGGTAATGATGCTGTGACAGGCATGGTTGACGAACAGGAAGTCCATGACACCCAGCAGTCCCATGAGAGCTGCAGAAAGTAAAGGAGCACATATCAGTATTTTTCTAACCAGTTTCTCAGCTCGAAGTTTGCATGCAGACAGTTGGAAGTCTAAACAAAAATGATGTTGCAAAACTTGAATATGTGTTGGATTTGATTAAGGAAACCTATCACGCTGACAGAGCCACAAACTGTCTGCTGTTCACTTACAGTTTGTAAATACAAATAAGTCATTAGCTTATACATATTCCCTTATTCCTAAAGAATTTCACTTTGCAATGATGCCACCTGCAGTTAAATCCACTTATTAATATCAAGGCATCCTATTACAACACCAAGACTAAGGCAGACTGCATGGCTTAAAGAGGTGGTCAGAGTAAATAAAAGTTTTTTGAGGCAAAAGCTCAGATACTAGAGGCTGATGAAAATTAATTAATTCAATTAGACAGTTTGCTCTTGACTCTGCATGATGTCACAGAGAGCAGAAATCCCTACAGTCATCTGAGGCACAAAACTCTGGTTAACTGTGGCTGTGACACACAGCAACTCTAACCAGCCAATAAGAAAGCTGAATTAGGGATGAAGGGAAAGAAGCTAAACAGTTCGTTTGAGCACTAAAACATCATGAAGGTCAGTATATGATCAATTTTCTTTATGTTATACTTTAATATAATCTGAGACTAAATACATAGAGGTGGAAACGAACACAGCAGGTTTTTTGTAACAGACCAGCTTCCCTTGCAGTGTTCAGGAAACTGCTGTGGCTTGTTACTGTTATCCACTGTAATGTTCTGGCCTTACAAATAAACCAGTGCAGGTGGCCTGTAGTGCAAGTAGAAACATTTGCATATAGTTTCACTTAGCTAAAGATTTATGACTTCAATTGGTGGAAGAGACAGTTGCCCAAAAGGAGAAATGAAAGACAAAAAGAAAGCCGGCACAGAAGTGAGGTATGAATGATATTCCACTGTGCTGATGTCTACTTACATAAAACCCTCATGTGAAAAACCCATGATATGTTGGGACTCCGCTCCATCTGACAGAAAAAGGATTGAAAAGACCCGTTAGCACATGCAAAGCTAAATACACTCAAATGCTACATAAGATTCAGAGTATCGTATAAATCTGTATGCTTTACATTCTGCAACTTACAGCTCTTTTTGAAATGGCAGTTTTAATATAATTACAAGTCATCTAATTTACAACATGCTAAAGGCTCTTTATGTTTAATTTCTAATAAAATCATCAGTTATAAAATCTCCAATAACAATGATATCAATGCTCCACACCCTTAACCACACACCATCTGTTCCACCCGGTGTCCCACACTTCCTTTCTACCTTTGAGCAATGTCCTGTACACAGATGCACTGGAGTGTGTTTTATGTGCATTGTGTGAGACAAGGAAGCGCTTTCTCATTCATCACTCACAAAGTCCACCCGATCCTCAGCCAGCCAGTGAAAGCACTTAAGGAACAGGAGGAGGGTAAAGAGGGCGACGAAGCGAGGAGAGAAATCATCCCTGAACACAGTGAAAGCCAGGCACGTCTCGGTCACAGCGTACCACGAGCGTTCGATGAGATGCTGGGGGTAGCCAGGAAAGAATGTTCAAATGCATATGAACAAAAGAGTCTCAGCAGTATTATAAAGACCGTGCAATAAATTCTAAATTAAATACGTCACGATGAATCAACTGAACATAAAAGATATCTCTACCTCCATTTCTGCAGCTCTCAACTGACCAAAAAAGACCTTCCTCATAAACTTTCCCAGCAGAAACACCAGCACAAATGCCTGGATGTACAACACCTGATACCAGGAGAGAAAGGAAAATTTAAAGAATTTACAGAAAAAACAAAACATGGAACATTTGACTTCATTTCCAATCTTACCGCCATGCTGGGACTGCTCTTGGTGAGGTAAACTACAGTCGGGTAAAACTGGTGTTTGAGTAAATAAGCATGTGCCACAACGGCCCCAGTCAACGCCAGACTGGTGACAGTCACTAAGGCTGCTCGCACCATTTTGGCCTTGGATGCTGTGGAGGGAAAACAGATGGAGAAGGAATGGAAGAACAGGTTAATGCTTGTGAAAGTTGACAAATACACTAAAGCAGAATGCAAATAAAAGTGATATGCTTGGGGGGGAGGGGCGTCTTTATGCCATGTTCGTTTTACTTAGATAACGACTTTTAAAATAAAATGTATTAGGTAGACTTTATGAGGGTATATGGTCAAAAGGTTTTGGCACTCATAGTGAAATATAGTTGTGCTGTTAAACAAAAAAAAAAAATACAGAAACGTTTTATATTTAAACATCAATGACGCTTCCTTTTGAAGTTTTGAAGCTGACCATTACAATTATCAGGAATAACTTATAGTAAAGCTAGTTAAACAACAGCTACACTCCCTCTTCAGAAAAATCAAACAAAACCACGTATACAGATGCTAAGTAGCTTACTGTTTTTAAAGCTAATGGGCCAATGAAGTCTGAAAGCCGACTGACCTGCTAGGTTTTCAAGAAATATTAAATGCTAAAACCACAAATATAAAGAAGCTACACATTATCCAAATACCCGAAGATACGATTGTCTTGGTTAATAATGTTATCTGCTCCACAGACTGTCAAACAGTTAACTGTGTTAGTTAGCCAGTTTTAGCTAGCGTTAGCCTGCTAGCTGCTACCGTTGCAGCTGTCACTACTCTGCGGGACTCACCTACTCGATGTCTGTGGTAGACTTTCTCCTTAGTACCTTTGTCGGATGTATCCCTGCCTACTCGAACTGTATATTATCAGCAACTACTCCATTTCAGCTCTTTCACAACACCCTCCCTGTAATATTTATTATCCTCACCCCTTTCTGCCTGTATACGTGTTTATCTTTGGCTTGCTCACTAGAAGCCACCTCACATCCGGTTGGTAAAATTATTTTGACGCAAGACCAATTTGTGTGTCTCACGACATGCTTGTGTTCTTATGTCCGGTAATCGCTATAAAAAGCAGATAGAGGGACGCTTAATTTACAGTATTTAGTCACGACTTAATATTAGTGTTTGACCCCTATATCGCGTAACAGTGTTTGTAGGTGCGGTTTGTTTCACTCTACTGTATTGTTAAGCGACGCACCTTTTAGGATATTTACGGTAAATAGAAACGTGGACCAATAGGAAGTTGACTGGCTGATGCGTCATTGGTTAACGCTTCAGGTCTGGCGGTGAAAAACTGTAAAAAGGGCAACTTGCTATTCTGTAACCTCCTGTACTCATTGTGTTATATCTATTTTTGTTTATTTATAAGCTCAGGTAGACACGTATACACACACACATATATATATAGGTGAAAAATATTTGTGCTATGTTGTTATTCAGAGCTGATTATAGATTTGAATAAAGCTTCCTGAAAGATTTATTGAAAAATTTCCTTTAACTTGAATTGTTTCTAAAGGTTCTGCGTGTACCTACCTCATGAATATGAAGGAATCCTGCATGCTGTCCTTATTGAGACATGCTGCATGAAATACAGAAATATCAACAAACATTTCAACATTTTTTAAGTTCTCCATTTCAGCCAACAAGTGCTTTAACCTCATGGAAAGCAAAAAGAATGCTATTCTTGTATAACAGATTTATTGACACTAAGCCGTACTGTAAACAGAAATAAGCTGTGGACTTTGTGTACTTAATCTTTCAGTCATTACAATTCACTGTCCTTTATGAGTTTACCACGGTGACAGTGTATTTTCACAACCCTTTACATCTAATAAAGGCTATTCAAAGCGATCAGCCATAGATAGAATGATTCCATGGAGAAAGCTGGATGGTGTGTCATCAGTTTTCATTATCAGAACAAACCACTGTGTACGGTGAATCCATCTGCTCACGTATGTTTTGACTGATTGTCGCCAATTTGCCAAGACCAGACGTAAGCACAGAACAATAAGCTATCGCTGTTATCAACTGGTAACTTAAAGACATTTTTGTTACCTGAAGTAAAAATAAAAACTTGACTTTAGAAAAAAAAAAAAAAAGAAGAAATAGAAACAGTATTTTTACTTAAAACAAAAAGAAAAACAAGAGGAAAATAAAATAAAAATTCACAGGAAATGCCTTTGTCCAACACAAGCAGGAGATTGTTGCACACTGAGGTTATCGTCTCTATGCGACTGAGCCAAAAGTCAAAAATTTAAAAACAAAAATACTTAAAAGTACAAAACTAAAATTATTCCGTTACCAGACAACCCCTTTATTTCATTGAGCAAAGGAGGTCAAATTATTTATCAACATAATGCCTTGGTACCCACGCCAAACCCATCCAACATGCCTCCATAAAATTCATGAGTGCACAATATTGTTAATACAGTGAGTATGGAAAATACAGCCACTCTTACTTGAACACGAGAGTACAAACAAGAATCAATAATGATGGCGTCCACTTTCTGATTATATCATATATGACTACTTCTATTACGACAGATGTAACATTCACAATGTTGTTAGCTTATGGCATGTTAAACTTGTTCAGTGATTGATCTCCCATATCAAAAACTATCAGGTTGGCATACATAACTTTCTTAAAAGGCAGTAGCTCAGTGTTCAATTCTAGCAGTAGAGACTATAAAAAGAAAGCATGTTATATCTGAGTCTAATGGTAAACATAGTCATGTCTATATCTTTATTGTAAATATTTGACATTGAGACAACAACGTAAGAAAAGTGTTTTGTAAAATTTCAAATTGTCAGACACAAGGCAGAGTAGTGAAACAGTTCTGCTTCATTAAAAACTACACATATGGAGAAACAAAAAGTTATTCGTCAAACAATAAAACTTGATGCAAAAAAATTAACATTTGACAGATTCAAGCTTGACAATGGAGCCCTCAGTTCTTGTAGGTATTGTAGCATTGTCAAGCAGTAGTGTGTCCATGTCGTCACTGCTACTTGGGCATATTCTCATCTTTCTCCAGGTATTTTCTTGCAACATTGATGCCATTTCAACAACTGGATGCTGGCTGCAGGTGCTGTTGAATTATTAGCCAATCCCTTCCCAAAGTAAGTGTAAACAGTTCAGCCATTAAGACCGTTTTAAATTAGAAATCATTGAGGGGTTTTGGGGGCGAGGGGGGTGATTTTCATAACGGGTCTCCCAGGCTCTCACAAGTCCAGTATTAGGACACAGAAGAGATTGGGTTGAGAGGAGAACCCATTTGTGTTAGCACTTTGTCTAGCCACTGAAGCGGCCCGTGCAGGTGCACTTCGATCCAGCAGGGGGTGCTGGTGACATCCTGTCGATGATACTCTGCTCCCCAGCCCTGTGGGGGGGGGGGAAAAAAAAAAAACAAAAGGTACACCATATTACACAATGACAGTGACTGATGATGTTTGCACTTATTAAATCAAGCAAAAGTGTGGCTGGTATTGTTTTCACCGTGTGTGTGTCTCATCATGACTTAATGCAGACTAGAGAAATCTACCAAATAGGTGTACTTCTTGGAGTACTTTGGTAGGTTGTTTTTCTGACTTTCTTATAGCAAAAAGAAAGTCAGGTTTTGAAGTGCTTGTGGTCTGACTCACAATTAGTGAGGAATCAAGAAATTACCGAGAACGTCTTTATTCGACGTGTACAGCATGAAACCCTTACCTTGACAAAGCTCATCCTAATTGTACACATCTTGGTAAGCTCATAGACGGCCTCAAAGCCATGGTTAACAGACTGAGCCAGAAGTTGAGCAAACTCTTGGTTGTTGAAAATCTTCAGGCTACATCCACTGGGGATCTTGCACACAGTGGTAGGGTGGAAGCCGTGGTGGTAATTACAGTTACGACTCTGAACAAAAATGCTGGTGTCGCTGAGGCACTCTGCATACACCTCCCCTCCCACATAGTACAGGTGCACTCCTGGACGACAAACAAAAGTGTAAGAACATTTAATCACCATCATTTCCTTATTTCCTACTCTTACTGGGGTTATTAGTCATACCTTTGCCAATGTGTCTGCGGGTGTTCTCGATTGTGGAGTTGCGGTTGACGTTGGACAGCAGTCCGAGGCAGAAGCGGTTTTTGTTGTTTGAGGGGTCAGTGAAGCCATCCACGAGCACACTGGTGGATGAAGCGTGGTAAGCCTCTCCGACACGATTGTTAAGTTCATAGTAGACAATAGAGCACCAGTGACTGGGCTCCTCATACTCCACTGGCTGCACATCTGCAAAAAGGTAAGATCAACAGATGTTGAACATGGATTTGAAATGAATTCAGACAATCCAGACAGTACACGACTGCGTGGTTAAATAAACTACGAGATTTATTAATTATGGTTAAAGAGGAAAAGTGTAACTAGGAGCAAAGCTCTGTTAACCCAACTCATGTAAAACTACATTCAATGAGGTTACCTCAACTAGCTCTAAAAGACCAGTCCTAACATATGGTCTACACCAACAGTCTGGTCAGAGATCATGCAAGTTTAAATAAATCCAAAGCCATCACATCTTTCTTATTTCTGTAGTACAATGATGTGATGCTCCATAGAGGCTCTAATTTAGTCAACCTACATAGACTCACTCCCGACTTCAGCTCTCATAAACCAAATACTGCTGGTAGACATGAAGTGTAGCGATACTTGTGCTTCAGTAAAATGTTGTTATACAGAGATTTACAAGCACCAGGTAAATCTCAGTAATGTGTGAACTGTTTTTGGCAAGGGCCTGAAAAATGTCAAAGCCCTGCATATCAGCTTAAAAAGGTTGTCAAAACACCTTTTAAATGTGGGCACAGCAAAACGCTGACAGAGTCAATAGTCCAAGTGATATTAAAACATATTTTCCTAAATATAACCATGAATGTAACAGAGAGCTGCTTCGCACTTATCCAATAAGAGTGTTCTGTTAAATGAGTCAAAGGACTTGAAACTGTTATGTTTAGGTTTAAGCATAATAGCTTATAAATAGGGGGTCATGACAGCACATTGGACAAAACGTTTGATTTAGTAGAGTCGTACCGCAGCTGCCCAACCTCACATAACCCTCCTAGAGACTTATCTGGGTCTCAAACACGAGAACATTTACACATTTGACAAATGGGTTAACCACTACAACTGAAAGATATAAACCAGGTTTAAAGGAAGATTGTGTAAAAAGTGTCCCATAAACTAAAACGGAGACAGCACTACTTTGATTTGAAGAGAAAAAAAAAAAAAAAAATGAGGAAGAAACAAGACCTTTGTAAATTAAACTCTGTTCATAATTTAACAGCTAGTTAAGGAGGAAAGGAAACTTATACATGAAGCTGAGATATACCAACAGGTTTGGTATATTTCTGCTACTGTCAGTATAACTGTGAGCACATCTCACCACCTCTGGCAATGCTCTGCGGTACCAGGCTGCTGTTCGTTTCCATGGACTGGGGCTCCTGGCCGATCGGCTCATCAGGGGGCATGTAGGCTGGTGGTGGGGTGTCAGCTGAGACATTAAGAGAGAAGTTAGTGGGACCAGTTGCTGCTGCTGACAAATGTACTCTCGCTCTCACGCACACAAAATCCCCATAGACACTCCTTAGAACAATCATGACAAGATCTGTACCCCGGAAATGGTGTCAGATTACACACATCCCTCATTTGCTAAGCCACATGCTAACCCATTCCCGACAGATGCAACATGAGCTTTTCAAGCCCTTAGTGAGGCATACAGGAAACAAAACATCTACTTAAAACTGCAACAAGGACATTTCAGTGGATCATGATGCTTGTCAGCATTCAAAAAGCCAACCAAAGCTTTGCAGGATAAATAACTTAAATCCTAAATTGCTGTTAAAAACAAAAAATTTAAAAACAAAACAAAAACCGAACCCAACCAGCTTCATATGCGCATTCACTGAACCCCTCTTTAGTGAAAAATAAAATATGATTTTTTTCAAATTCAAGACATAGATATGTTTTTTATTGGTGCACAAAATGAGCGGTGCATGTCACGGTGGAGGGTCTGCCGAACCCCTGAGACCGGACTCACCGAACCCCTAGGGTTCGATCGAACCCAGGTTAAGAACCACTGGTCTAGACTAAGAGCACCAGTGCTGGTGGATGGAACTGGATTTGCCTGGCTACATCATTTGTTTTTTCACCATACAACTGTAAACAGACTCCCCCCCCCCCTTGCATCATGCAACTTGAAAAACAGAAATCCTGAGAGACCAGTGTTTATCAAAAGTCAGACATTTGTTGGCTACATGACAGTGACAATTCAGAAAAACAATGGTTTGGCAACTTTCCCAGGGTCAGGTGGAGGAGTGTATTTGGTGTACCTGGGAGTTGGAATGGACTTGAGGGCCCCGAACTGGCAGGAGAGTTTGGATAAGTACCAGAGCTGGCTGGAGAAGGAGGATATGGAGAGTTGGGAGAAATGGAAAAAGAGCTGCCGCCACCTCCACCTCCTCCACTGCTGCCACCCCCATTGTGCGGCTGTTGGAAGGACTCTGGATAGGTGGCATTCAGGGGCATGTGTGGCTCGTTGTGGGTGAGGTTACGGAACTGTACCAGCAAGCTGTGCTGTGGGTTGAACTCGCTGTGCCGTGGTACCAGGACAGGAGGAAGCACTGGATGGAAGAAGAAAAATGAATTAAACAAGTGTGCTGAAAAAAAAAAAGAAAAAAAAAAAAAAAAGAAGAAACTGCACACATGATGTATCACCATGTGGAATTCACAATTCATGAAAACTAAGTTTTTAAGGAGTAGGGCAAGCCCAAAACAATTAAAATTTACGTGAAAATAATTAAAACCAGAAAGCAGCATAGATTAATCTTGTAGAGGCTGAAAATACCTAATGTGTAGAACACTGTATATGCTGAGATCGTTATTACAGTATTTTAATATGATGATTTTAATAATGCTACTATCAAAAATAACTGAAGGAATTCCAACCTGTATGTTGAAATAGAGATGACTGAACAACAACAGTGAGTCTTGAAATGTTATTTTTAGCTCTTGATACATAAGAACAAGATGTCCTTCACATTTAATTTTACCCTTAAAAAGGATTGAAGGTTTCCCTTTGCAAGATATTACTCTGACTTTAAGAGTCCAGGCTCCAAGGCTGAAATATAGTCTTCTCACCGACAAGTGATCTGCATCTTTGAACCGGTCAATACAGACCTTGCAATCCTGAACCAGTGTAGTATCAGAAAGCCTGTATCTTTAGGGTCATCCATGGGTGTGTAAGTGTATATGATGGGGTGTGGGAGAAAAGGGGGAAGGGGGGGTTAAGTGATGTGAAAGTGCTGGGAGTTTAGTCTGAGTGGTTTATGCGTTTAGTACACTGCTTTCTGATGCCACACCCAATCTGGAATGCCTGAGGCATATAATCTAATAAGACTCCCAGAGCTAGTGATATTGATTTTCTGTGAAATGGAGGGGGCGGGCAGAAAAGGCCTGTGTGATGACAGCCTCCTGACCTTTGTAGATTTGTTTACCAGCTCTACAGTTTACTGAGAGATGTGCACAGTTCTAAATTGCTTTAATCCATCTTGTATTTGAAAGTTAAAAGGCAAAAAGCAAAATGAAACAATAGGCTAGAAATGTTAGAAAGACTGCAAATAAACAAATTATGTGATGACTATGCCTCACAGAACACAGGTTTAATCGTATATACACCAACCATTAACATTACATGTCTGTTTAAATATAAAAGCTAAGGTTGATTAAACAGAACCTGTTTAAGGTGAGAAAAATTACATACCAGGGCTCTCCACTCTCTTGTAGTGATATGGGTTTATGCACACCTCCTTCTGTTTGGAGCCAAACGGATACTCGCAAATGTCCAGAGGCTTGAGCTCATGGTGGGACTGTAGATCCGGCCAGCGCCACACTCTGCAGTAGATAACATGAGGAAGACCCTTCCTGTGGGAAACCTGCAGCCGGCCGTCCAGTGATCTTGGAATGGTAACACACTTGCTGGGCTGTCCAGGGCAGCTCAGCGCTTTCTCCAGGTCTTCCATGGCACCCTTCTTCTTCTTCAACTTTTTCACAAGTGCATCAACTGCCTTTTCTGCCCATTTCTCTTCCTCGTCTCCCTGTTTCCAGCCGAGCAGGCGCCTGACTGTCGGACTTGTGAAGGAGAACAAACTAGACATGGAAGTCATTCTGCAAGTTGTAGTGCAGGTAAAAGAGAGGAACTTTCCTTCGCGATGACACTGGGCCTATGCAAGGGGGCCAAAAATCAGTCAGCAGGTAATCTCCAAAGAGCGTTATTAACCCAACACAGTCTGTGAGCGTTTGATCAACAAAAGAAGTTGCTTGAGTGAGTAATATAAGTGTGCAAGTATGAAAAGCCAACACCGATGAGTGGGTGGGGTGAGGGGAGAGGAGATTTTAGCCTTGTCTGACCAAGGACAGGAAGCAGGGGAGGGCCAGGAGTGAGCAAGCAGGACGCAGCTGCTGCTGCTCAGGAAGGGCCCTCCAGCAAGCTGTCCGGAGTTGGGTCACTACCACTGATGGAGAGGGGGGGTGTAGTCTGTAGGAGCTCAAATCAGGACTTATGTTGAACTGATACACTGCAGCAGGCCTCACTGGTGCAAGTCTGACACACGTCTTATAAGGAAGTGCTCATTTCTTGAGAACTACCAATGCTCTTTTGGCTAACTTCATTCAAATTGCCCACAGTCAGGGTTTCCTCTGTCAGCCTTCTGCAAAACACAAAAGATCAGAGAAAGATCAGGAACACATGTAAAGTTTGAAATTACTGTTATCTAGATGAACAAGCAAACCTTTCTAAACATTTTTATAGCAACTGTTAAAGTTTTTTGTTTAATGACATGAAACACTCTTTATGGCAACCCACTTAGAGAAGCACTATTCTCGATCCACGGGGTGGGGGTTTGGGAATTCAAGAAAACCCTTTGTGCTATTTTTGATCTGATACATTTCCACAGAAACGCCACCATCACTACTTAGATGACTCAGTTATGTGAAACGCGTTCCATCTCAAACTCGAGATCAATCATGCACATGGAAAACACTAAACAGCCATATGGCCTAAAATGCATCTAACATGATCATTTGTCACACAACAAGCAATTTTGCAGAAAGGCAGCTACAGAGTGCTCAAGGCCAACTCCCCATTTAAACAAAATAAGGAAAGCAGTTTGGATCGGGACCAAAATTTAATGAGCTCTTTTTAAAGTGCCACCTCTTCAAGTTTCAGGACATTCTGCTTTTGGTGGACTCATGCTTAGAGGCAGACACACAGCTGTGATCACACTGGCAGAGGAAAGAGCAGAATAGATGCTACATTCGGACTAACAATGATTGCTGAACTGACTGGTACAAGTTATGCCACATAAGGGAAAAACTCTCAAGGCAGCATGTGGAGAATCTACTTTAAAAAAAATAAATAAAAGAAAATCTGTTTTTTGCCTAGTGAAGTCTCAGTCAATTTTTGAACTACTTTTCAAATAAATAACATGACAGTTGAGACAAAATACTGACCTCTCTCTTCAGTATTTGCACTGGGAAAGGAAAAAAAAAAAAAAAGTAAAACTAAGAGTTGCTGATTACCCCTCACTACTGATGCACTGCACCAAGATACCTTTGTCTCAGACTGCTCTAGAGATGTTGAGAGTTCGGGCAATTATGACATATAACACTTCAATCCCCTTCATACAGACAGAGCAGACAGAGGGTCAACACATGCAGCCTGCAGCAGCAGCTGTTTGGGCTGTGAAACTGGCCTTAGTCAAAAAGGATGTAACCACAAAGAGCTGCTTCCTCCCTCATCCCATCTCTGCCCAATCCCTCCCTTCCAGCTAACAGCTGTCCAACAGCACTGCACTCACTCCCATTACTCATTGTTCTCCACACACATGAAAGCAGAGAGAAACATCCTAAAGCAGGACACACACACACCGAAAAAAACCCCATATCAACATGTAAATGTTGGGAGCTTTTCTGGAAGTCACCAGGCCACATTAAAGCAGTTCTTCCTACATGTGGATAGGCCTTTTTCAGATTCCAAGTGACACACAAGTTCATGGTTCAGTTAGTAAAGTAATCAATTTACACATCCAAACTTGTGGATAAACACACTGTAGCTACAAAGACTACATTAAATAAGATTTCTCATGCCAATCCTTCAGATAAAGCTGAGCTTTTCAAAAGACAAACAGTTCACGACGATAGCTTATTCTCTGTGTCAAATCAGTCTCGACTAAAGTATGTTAACCAGATTCAGACAGATATCAGTGGGCTGATATTGGCCTATCACAGATTTATCTGTAGTTTACAGTACTGGCATGTTAATAACAACACCATCGGTTTCCATTTTTTATTACAACTAGTTCCATGTGCGTGCGTGAGAAGAATAGCAACAAATACATCTATGCCAAGATCCAAGACCCCCCCCCCCCTTTTTTTTAACACCCTAAAAATACTACCCACTATCAGTTAGGGTGCTATGTATTTTACAACATCGCATTTTGACAAGTACTTATTTGTTAACCCTCAGTAAAAGTGGCTTACATTCTTACAAAAATTACCATGAGTTTACTCTTTGTGGAACCAATTTAGTATGACAGGGATTGCTTGCCAGATATATAAAAACTATTAAAGGGCAAAAACACAAAACAAAACACTACAACACCACACCACTGGGATTTCTTAACTAGTTGTTCCCAAGTCGAGTTTCATTTCCCCAAGCATAAAATACCTTTTTTAAATAGCCTAATATAACAACCAAAGGTTAAGACTTGTGGATCAGTCGTGTTTAAACGGGTAGTAAAATCCTCAAAATCCCACTATGACCCAGGGAAAACTCTTTATGAATCACAGAAAATATATAGGTCATAGATGCATTAAGAAAATGCATATACACATATGTACATGGATACAAAATTTAAAAAAAAAAATACCATCTCCAAGCATGGCGGGAAACAATGAGATGTACTTTAATAATAGGAAGTGCACCCTAGAAGCTTCTCAAATCGTTGATAGATGTTCATCAGTTTGGGCTGCTCTGGATTACACGCCTGAGGAATTCCTTTAATCACGTTTAAAAGATGTCTACATAAAACGCACACAGCAAGCAAAACAAAAAGACAAAAAAAAAAAAAACTTCCAAAAAACTGGAAAACCTGACAACACTACTTTGTTTAACAGCGTGTAATCCGTCCTTAACGCTTGTCAAACATGAAGTAACACGGAACAGACAATATGGAAGGACGATTCAGTACCCCCCCCCACCACCACCAGAGAAAGAGAGAAAAGGCATTCAGAAAGACGCATCTAATTATACACAGACCCCAGAAACAGCAATAAAAATAGCTTTTAGTACTGCTCCAAGTGCTCCACGAAAATACACACGGTCACAATATAATATAATATCCCACTGGCATTAGCTAACTCTGGTATGTAGCAACTTGATGTAAGTAGCATCGAGATTTTGCTAACTAGCTTAGCTTGCTTTCACAGAACACATCTTGTTTAGCGTGAAGTTTTTAATTAAAACACCTCATAACAACCATTTACATAAGAGTCTACCATAATCGTTTTATCATCAAGTATAACTTGGGGAGTCATCGTATTCAGCCTCTTAGTAGTTTGACAACGTTTACTTCAGCCTTCCTCCTCTTCCTCCATTCCAGAAACTTTTTGAACTTCTCACAACTGAAGCTAAGCTATGTTAGCTGTTAGCCAAGCTCTCCGAGGGGAACGGAGCGCCGAGCCTCTCTGTGTCCTGCTGATGTAGCTCCCTGGAGTTCAAGTCTACTCTCTTATTTCAACCGTTAAATAACCACATACCTTTCAACAATGCGTGCGAATCATGACAGTGATCTTTCTTGTAAACATTTAGCCCGTAATCCCAACTTTTGTATACATTTCTTTCGTTTTCAGAGCACCTTCGTTCCGTCTCTCCGTGCCATGTCCTCCAGATTCTCGAGTGAAATAGTCTGGGAAGGCGGAGTAAATATCGCTCCGCTGTCCCAACAAACTAGTGCTCGCTTTGGCGTTAAGGTCCGTGAGGATTTAGTTTCTTACTGCGAAGACACTAAACATTAACACTAGTTTTAAACAGCTTTTAATGTACCACTAAGCAATCGCTTACTTTTCGAAAAAAAAATCAGGTCACTTTTCTTGAGTATAGGTCAGATTGTTCCAAGTGAGCTAACTTTTCTCCATCTTGACATTTGCGACCCGAATATCGAAAATATAACGTTAAATGATACGCCGGCAGCTAAAAACGTATAAGAAATGAAAGTGAAACGTTTCCATTTATTCTTTTCTGCTTTTGATGTTTAAGTGATTGAAGCTGGACGTCTTACGGTGGTCGTGCTGCGGCTCTGGAACGTCTCACAAGTTGCTGGCTCCACTCAGTCTGGAGGGCTGCGGTTTGTTGTGTATTGTTGTCCTTTATAGTCACTTGTTCGACACTTCGCCAGCCCTCGCGATGTTAACCCTTTGAACCTGAGGAATCAAAACAGAACTAAATATTCCACGACGATTCCCGTAGACGAACCGCTACTTTCTCACAGGACAGTGTCGAAGCTGCGGATTCTTCATTCAGTCTGCGGACTCCGAATGAAATGCAGTGCGCGTGCTCTGCCACTAGCGAGCACCCGACAACCTCACGAGGAATATCACAGCCTACTGGTTTGCTTTATAAAGTGGGATTCTCCCGATTCCTTCCTCCCATCCCATTGGGATAGTCACTTCAACAAAGAAGTGTTCAAGTGAGTTAACCAGACCTACAGCATTTGTAAATAAAAACGTAAGATATATGTATTTTTTAAAGGTGGATTAATACTTTTCTTCACAAACTAAAATAACTTGATCGTTTGCTGATTGTCAAGCTGAGCTTTAATGGGAAACCAACCACAGTAGTTTCTGAGATTTTTTTTTTTTTTATAAGACTCAACAGTGAGCATCAGTGACCTTCAGTGGGCCAGCGTGGGCAGCCAAGTCTGAAGTCACCTGTCTATGAGTTGTATCAAAGTGTTACAGGAAACACTATAGCAGTGGGTTTGGGGACCACTTTATTTTGTTGCTGACATCACTGCTCTCAGACAAAACACAACATGCTACATACCATCCAGACAAGATTACAGGCTGCCCCTAAGAATCTGTCATGCATTGACTCTGTAATCCTTTGCATGAGGAAAAATGACACACTCCTTCCTTCTCCGGGCTCTGTAAACGTGTCCCTTCTGGCTGTAAGTTATGCGTTCAAACGTGACCAGTGGAACTATCATATTTGTTTTTATAACAAATGGTAACCCCACTGTCGAACGGTTGCCGCAATGCAGCTTGGAGTTTACATTGGTCTAATTAAATATTCACAGCGGAGGGTGACGTGAGCTCAGTCTGGAAATCACACTTACACTTAAGCTTGTGTATCAAAATGCAAGATATTCAAGAATCAAATGCATTATTATGTATGTATTCCCTTAATGCTTTCAAGGCAACTTCTATGGGGAAATTCCACCTGCAAATCATCATTGTGTAATGCTATTGATGCTTTGCAGGAGGAAAACTACTACTGACACTATTACAGTTCATGTCATTCAGGTGTACAAAGCTTTCTTTTTTCTATCAAAGGGGATATATTCAGTTTTTTTCTATTTTCTTATAAATATACACTTTTCAGAGATTTTGGTCCATACTGGCATATTGACATCAAAGTTAGTGGAGCTTGATTGCCTGCACGTTTATAACTAGAAGCTCCCGTTCTGTTACATCCCAAAGGTGCTCTACTGGAAAGAGTTCTGGTGACTGTGGAGGCCATTTGAGCACAGTGAACTCATTGTCATGTGAAACCAGATTGGAGTTTTGTGACATGATGCACTGTCCTACTGGAAGGAGCCATCAGAAGATGGGTACACTGTGGACATAAAGGAATGAATATGGTCGGGAACTATACTCAGGTACGTTGTACCACCTCACGGCAAAAAGTGTGTCAAGAAAGTTTCCTCCACACCATTAGACCCACCAGTCTGAAGCGTTGATACGAGGCAGGATGGAGCCGTGATTTCATGTAGTTTCATGTAGTTGGCGTCTGAACTTGCCATCCAAATATTACAGCAGAAATTGTGACTCATCAGACCAGGCAACATCTATTGTCCAATTTTAGCAAGACTGTGTGAATTATAACCTCAGTTCCTTGTTCCTAGGTGACAGGAGTAGCACCAGTTGTGGTCTTCTGCTGCTGTAGCCCATCTGTTTCAAAGCTGGACATGTTGTGTGTTCAGAGATGCTCTTCTGTATACCTTGGTGGTAATTTGAGTTGCCTGCCATTCTCCTCTGATGTCAACAAGACATTTTCACCCAGAGAACTGCTGCTCACTGGATTTTCCCAGCAGTTTCTGAAATACTCAGAGCAGCCCATGTGGCACCAACAATAATGGCATGCTCAAAGACACTTTTTTCTTCCCTGTTCTGATGTTCCATTTGAACTTCAGAAGGTTCTCTTGACCATGTTTGACTATGATGGTCTATTAGACATGGTCAAAGCTTGAAACAATTAGGTCAGATTAAATTGAAGTATTCCCTTCAAGGCAAAGGTTCAGGCTTCAGACAGTTTCTCAGCCCTTTGTGATGTAATAGAGAGAGGTTCCCAATGGTGCGGTCATGCCAAGCAGTTTTAGCTTGGCGTGACTATATGAAAAAGTCTATACAATGAGGCTGAAATAAATTTGCACAGCTGTTGGCCATACAGGTAACTCTAGGATAGCACAAGTTAAAACACATTTAGCTCTGGTGAAAAATTCTCTCTGGCCTGTGTTACGAAAAACCATCAGCTGGGATTTTCCTATGGGCTGCAGATTCTCTTCTGACGCCACCAACAGCCAAAATGTCACTGTAACTAGACAGTTACCAGTTGTACTCCCTTTTTGTCCTGGTGGCTGTCAGGGGCAAATATTTTCAGGTTTCCAACAAAGCAGACTTCACAGGAGCAATTAAACCTAAACTTTGCTTTGCAGTTGGTGCGAGTGCTGTTTAAACCTTTTTGTGAGGGGCAGCCAATCATAAGAAAGCGGGCTTGTGATAGCAGCTAAACTGATGGGCTGCACCAACTGAAATAATGATGATTTTTTTGAAACTGGGAATCATGCAAAGTCATTCTAGTAGTCTCCAATCAATAGATAAAAATAAATAAATAAATGGAGCACAATAGATCAGCTTCATGGACAGACAGGAGATTACAGATATACAAGTTGTATTTTTCTTATCAATAGGAAGTCTCACTGTTCAGTTAACTGGCTTTCCACTCCTTTTGTGGTTATAAAAACTTTTGTAGGTTTTGCTAAGCCATCATCCGTGTGGTTCACTCACAGGTCAGCTGCCAGTGCAAGCAGTTTGATTGACAGGTGATCAAACAGGTTAAGTATACACTGTTCAGGTAGTATGCATTTGTTCAATATCTGTGGGTGATGAGCCAGTCTTTTGAACTGAACAAGCATGTAGTGTTGACATAGTTTTGAGCTGAACCCTTATGTGTCACACTGTTCTCTTTGACTGTCTGCCTATTCTGCCCGTCCCAGACAGCTACACAAATCCTCTTCCACCTTCTTCAAAAATAAAACTGCACAATGCATCACTTCCAGAGATAGGCAGTAACGCGTTACTTGTAATGCGTTACTGTAATCTGATTACTTTTTTCAAGTAACGAGTAAAGTAAGGGATTACTATTGCAAAAGCAGTAATTAGATTACCGTTACTTTCCCGTAGGAACGCTGCGTTACTGCGTTACTAAAACCGTGATTTTTTGCGAGAATGTCTCACGACAGTGACGTAAGCGAGTGCACCGTTAGTGACAACAGCTGTGTGCAGATCAACAATGGATCACATATCGATTGTGGGAGAGAGTATGAGCGT